GTGAGGGTCCTAATGATGGAGCTGTGAGGGTCCTAATGATGGAGCTGTGAGGGTCCTAATGATGGAGCTGTGAGGGTCCTAATGATGGAGCTGTGAGGGTCCTAGGGGTGCACAGATTGCAGTTTTCTGGCCGATCACAGATTTGTAAAAAGTCTGACCTGCAGATTCTGATTTTGGCCGATATCGATTTAGTTTTTTAAGCGACACTGTCGGGCGTTATAAGGTCACAATGCACCTTCAATTTTCTAATCTTTATTTATTGAAAAACAGACCCTTGAACAGTCTCCAAGAAACAATACAAACTGGTTTTAACTGGCCATGAGGTAGTGCTCTGAAATATAAATGAAGTTCAGACAATTGTTCTTAAAACTAAAAAAAAAATCGGTAAAATTAGTTTCTCATGCAAGTATCGGTCGATTTCCGATTTCCCAAAATTACAGAAATCGGGGCCGGTAAATGTGCGTGTGCACCCCTGGACCTAAATGATGGAGCTGTTTTCAGTCATGCATCATTTAAGTGTGTCAGAGAATTCACTCCAGACTCAAGCGATCAAAGATTCATTGCACTCCTCAGATCAGTTGCTGCAGAAACCAACACAGACTGGGTGCATGCGTCACCCTGAGGTGTCTTTGTGAATAAATCGGCTCTGTGTCCGCCTGAGAATCTCAGAATGACAGGACCCACGACCGACCAGTGGAAACCAAATGTTTGAGGTCGATGCAGAAAAGTTTTCTATGGACGGTGCCAGGCCATAAAATGTCCATATTTTTGTCATTGCTTTCTATATTTAACAAAAGATATCAAAGCTTGCTAAATCAAAATACAATTCTATTTAACAACACGTTGAAGGTCTCGTATGCTTCAAATATTATGAACAGCAGATCTTCTCACTTGTAAAAACTTATCTGTGGGTACGGTGAGCTGGTTGTAGCTGCAGCATCATTCTCCTGCCTGGTATTTTAGAAAATATGTCAAACTGAATATTTATTCATCTCCAGCAAAAATACAAGCAGGAGTGAAGAGCGTAACAAATTTAAACCTCTCAGCTCAAATCATCCATTCTGAAACACCAATCTGAACCCAAACAGTCGAGTTATAGTTCTTAAGTTGTTTCGTTTCCTCCATTTTTCTTCGACCAGTGTTTTGAAATCAGATTTTAAACTTCATGAAAAAAAAAGTCTAAGTAAAACACAACATTTTAAGAAGTCCTTTGCCATTTCAAGGTTAAAAATCTCACTCAGTAAATAAAATACAAAATGTGTTGAATAATTTGGTGTTTAAGGGAGTTAACACTTGTAAGGATGACATCATCTGTTCTTATTTTAAATTTGTAAGATTTGTGCAATTATTTTTCAACCAACCTCTAGAGTAAAGATGGAATTGTTTTTGGGAATAAAAAGAATCACAAACTAACAAGTCTGGGCAGAGCTGTGGGAATGTGTGTGTGGGAATGTGTGTGTGTGTGTGTGTGTGTGTGTGTGTGGGGGGGGTGTCATGTGAGAATTGGTGTCACACATCATCATAATACCAAATATATGAAAAATACTTCCCTGATGACTAATCTGCTGATTAATTTGTGTTTTATGAGGTTGTGAAAGTTCCTCAGATCTCCAACAGCAGTCTGGTTTGTTAAACTGGATGTACATTTAAAAAATGTTGCAAACTAAAGATGAGAAGCACTCGGACGTACAAGGTTTCTTTTTTCAATAAAGCTGGAAGTATAAACATTTGAATTATTCTGGCATCCACCAGGGGGTGCTGCAGCACCTTCTGCGTCTCTGATTCACACAGCCTTGAGTCTGGGTAATTTTCCATGAATAAAATTTAATACTCTGACACGTTCCTAAGTGATCTGAACCGATTCACAGGTGAAACAGCAGTTTAGGGATTAAATCTATTGATTTACTAAATCTTTGCAACAAAATAATCCAGTCAGTTTAATAATTAAACGTCTGGTTTATTTCTACACAAAGACATCCATTATATTAAAGTGGTAAAGTGCAGCTTGCATAAAGAACAGAGCCTCACTCGTGGACAGCTCCTCCTGGCTGTTTAGCTGCACCGTCTACTCTGTATCGACACCTACAGGTAAGGAGGAGAACTGCAGCAGCACCGCTGCAAACAGAAACAATCACTAACAATGTGCTTCAATCATTCTTACAGGGGAAAGGGCTGCTTTGTTCTTTATTGTGTAGAAAATACATTCCCTCCTCTTTGCTTAGTTACTCAAAGAGTGATAAATATAAAATCAAAAACAATATGTATCAACTGGGAGACAGGTTTTATAAAGTGTGTTTTGCTTTTTTAAAACAAGTCCCGATTGACTGTAATTGTGATGATTGATTTAATCAGCTAGTTATTAACCAATAACTGCCCCAGAACCATTTCTTGGCTTTTTGTGTTAAATTACATTTAATCTCTACTCGTTGCATCTGTTTGGCTTTGTGTCTTTTATGAATCAGACAGACCAGAGATGCACAACTACATTAACACAAAACCCTCACGTCCACTTGTTTAAAGTTGAAGACGCAACAAGTCGTTTTAATGTTGAAAATAATATTCAAGAAAGCAGGAAACAAGACAGGCAGGGGGCGTGGGGGGGGGGGCACTCAAAGAGCATCTCCGCCTCCTCAGAGCTCCTCACTTCCCCTTTATGGAGAATCTGAAGAACAGAGCAAAACGGAGCAGAAGCAGCGGGTCTGGTTCTGTTCACATGTGACAGAAGAACTGAGGATCCATCACAGCAAGGACTCTGACAGGGAAGTGATCAGGAAGACCCGATCAAAAGATCGATACTCTGACAGGGAAGTGATCAGGAAGACCCGATCAAAAGATCGATACTCTGACAGGGAAGTGATCAGGAAGACCCGATCAAAAGATCGATACTCTGACAGATAACAATCAGAACGAGGATCAAAGCGGATCCGCCGGCACAGCTTCCGGAGCGCACGAGCCGCAGCCGCGTTGAGTTGAGCACAAAGACGCGCACCTCTGCACCCCCCCCCCCCCCCCCCCAATAAAACAACCATCCAGCCTGCGCGCACACACCGACCTTCTGTCTGCACAGATGAACTTCTCTGCGCTCCTTCATGTTTGCAAAGAAACTCTTCATTCAAAACGTGTGCACTTGAGCAGTTAAATGAAATGTCACGTTTGTTTGTTTGTTTGTTTGTTTGTTTGTTTGTTTCCAAAGCATGTGGAGAGAAAATGAATGAAGCAGCAGCTACATCCTCCCCTGAGCAGTTCAGGAGCACAAAACAAGGATGCTCTTTCTTTACCTGCTCCGTTGCTGTGATGGGTTCAGGGTTTAATTTGGTCCTTTATTGTCCTTAGCGCGAGCTCCCTTGTCCGTGTCTTCTTGTCCGTGTCCTCTCGTGTCCGTGAGGGCGAGTGGATGTGGACGCGTCGGAAGCCTTTATTTTAGCCTATTTATAAGCTCCTCTTTCTGACCTTTGTCTCCTAAAACCGGGGGACCAGAGACACCAGCGGGAGTGGAAAATCACCGGCCTGCCTCCTCAGAGCAACGGGAAAGCGCTGCGCGTGATGCCTTCACGGACAGCAGAAAACCTCGGAGTTTTTGGAAAGTGCGCACTTGGAAGGCAAAGCGAAACGGGTTGGACTTTAACCTGTGAACATTGTACAACAGGTTGAAACGTACAATCTTAACCATTGCTTTTTGGGGGGAAGGACATAAAATTCACGTTTGAGGGAAATCTTGATTCATGGCAGGTCAGTGTTAACTGAAATGACCTGAAAGTCCCAAATGTCTTCTTACTGTGTAGCTCTAATCCAGGTTTTATTTTTATGACTGAATTCAAATAATAAAAGTCTTTAGACGTCACGCAAAACCACAGCCTACATCTTGACTATTCATGATAATTTGAAAACTTACGAACAGCCCCTGAACGCAGCACTGAGAAAATTTAAAGTGACAGTTATAATATTTGTTCAAAACTTCAGTCCGTTAGTTTTTCATTTTCCTTACTTTTATTGTTGTTCCGTGCAACAACAGAATAATTGAAGTGTCGTGTCTTTTGACTGTTTTTGATGCGTTTGGTAATTAATTTGAAGTGTCCTTGTCTCTCAAAGACAAACAGCAGACACCCTGCTGCTTTTTCAGCCGAAAATGAGATTGTATCTGCTCAACTGTCCTCTGGTGTTCAACTGTCCTCTGGTGTTGCTGCTGTCTCAACTGTCCTCTGGTGTTCAACTGTCCTCTGGTGTTGCTGCTGTCTCAACTGTCCTCTGGTGTTGCTGCTGTCTGCCTGTTTCATGGTTCCTGCAGGAGACACACTGGACGAGGACACAAATGCAAAAAGTCAAAGCTTAGATCGGAGCACCGTCTCTTCTGCTTCAGCGATGCTTTACTGACTTCTTTTTTAAAAACTCATCATGGCACAAACAAATATAACGTGTTTTAGTAAAACTCCCCGGTATTTGAATTATTTACCAGCAAAAAAATTTAAATAAAACCTAAAATTGCTTTAGTTTTATTTATTTATAACCAAGTGAATCATTTCGTTTGGAGTATTTTTATTTTTATTAAATGTTATTTAAGCAGCCAAATCCCTCTGAGCTCACAGATCTCCTTTTAAAGGAGGCCTGGCCTGCAGGCAGCCTCACATGCATGTTCTGGACCATGGGAGGAGCCGGAGGAAACCCTTGCAAACATGAGGAGAACATGCAAACTCCACACGGAATGACCCCAAACCCAACCCAGGTCTTGAAGCCAGGACTTGAACCCAGGACTTGAACCCAGGACTTGAACCCAGGACTTGAACCCAGGACTAGAACCCAGGACTAGAACCCAGGACTTGAAGCCAGGACTTGAACCCAGGATTTGAACCCAGGACTTGAAGCCAGGACTTGAACCCAGGACTTGAAGCCAGGACTTGAAGACAGGACTTGAAGCCAGGACTAGAAC